CTTCCCTGCCTCCCTGAGTTTGCTCAGTTTCATGCTCATTGCTTCAGTGATGCTATCTAAGCATCTCATCCTCTGCCGTCCTCTTCTCCTTTTGCCTTCAATTGATGTGAGTTAGGATCAAATAAACTTTCAGCCTTATTTATTTACTTGTTATACAGTGATGTATAATATAGCAGCTCTCTGAATTCATAGGCTGGTTTTCACAGACCAAGTATCCTCTCATGACAGTGGAAATCAAAAGGTTGGACAGAGATGGAGCAAAGAAGGGGGAAACGAAGGGGGAATGTGTGCATTCTGGTTGTTGCATTACCCACATAAAGGCACTGTCACTGGATTTTTCATTTAGATATGCTTTGCATATAACGGAAATCAGAGCTAGACTTCTCATGGAATACTCAATACTCTTTTAAGAGAAATGGCAGAGCTGTGATTAGAAAGGGCAAATCCTGGCTGGTTGTCAGGACAAGAAAAAATATTCAAAAGCAAATGCAAAAACATGGGGTTTGCATTCTTTGTTTGGATAAGCCTTAGACATTTTAAACCAGCCTTCCCCAACTGAGGTCTTTTCAGGGATGATCCCACTATAACTCGTAATTAGCCATGCTGTCTGGGGCTGATAGGAATAGTAGTTAACATTTGGCTGGAGGGAGTCAAATTATGGAAGGCTGCCATAAACCAGCTTTGGAACTGTCCAGGTAGTGTTGGACCCAATGTCTTGACTCTAAATCATGGTGGCTGTGAATGATAGAGGTTGAGGGGCAGCAACATCTAAAGGAGAACAGATCCCTGTCATACACCTTAAACCATGCCATGGGTTTATGAAACGCAGCTTCTGCTTTTTTCACTTTATTCATCATTGTCCAGTTACCAAATACTTCATTCACATGTATGCACTGCACATGTATCTCCTAAGCAGGTATTAATCAGGTCTTACTTACAAGTGCCTTGTAACTTTACTTACATTTTCAAAATCAGCCAATGTTGGCTAAGTGCTGCCACCATGAGGAATATTGACTTCATGCACAAGATATACATTTTTAGATTTGTTGGGTATGTTGTGGGATGTGTGTCTGTAGAATGAGCAATATTTTTAACATTATTAAATCTTAATGAACATTCTTTGGAACTGAAATAAGTCCTTTCCTAAGGTGCCAGATCAGATGTGCAGATATGCAGCAAGCATTATTCAAAACTGCTAGTCCAACTAAAAGTTTTAGTTGTCAGCTTCTTTTATGGCACAGCTTCTCCTCCTCCTCCTCCTCCTCCTCTTCTTCTTCTTCTTCTTCTTCTTCTTTTGTTGTTATCATCATCATCATCATCATCATCATCATCATCATCATCATCAACATCATCAACATCATCAA